AGAGAAAAAGACAACAACAACATCAAAACGGCAATAAAAAACAAACACACACACACACACACACACACACACACACACACACACGACACACACACACACACACACACACACACACACACAACACACACACACCAACTCATAATTCAAGAATGCTTTCAAGTTAATGTTATTGCCTTATCTTATCTCTCCAATTACTCAGCCTCCAGCTTATTCAAAGCCGAGTTCACAAAGAAGACCGCTTTCCTCCCCCCCACACCCCTCCCTCCCCCTTTCCCCCTTCCCCCCCCCCTCCCTTCGAACAGATTTGGAAAAAGGGGTGAGAATGTTCGAGAAAATCTTGGCACTCGGAAAAAAGGAGGTTGGAGTGTGTTAATTATGTCCTCTCGAGTTACTTTCGATTCTTCGCTTTTATTTGCTGTCTTTCTGTCTCCCTCTTATCTGTCTCTTTGTGTGTCTATATGTCCTTGATTTAACTCTCTTCTGTCTCTGTCTGTATTTCTGTATTCCCCTTCTCTTCTCTCCCTCCTCCCTCCCCTCTCTCTCTCTCTCTTTCTCGCTCCCTTCTTCCTCCTCCACACTTCTCTCTCAACTCTTCTCTCCTCTCTCTCCTCTCCCTCTCTCCTTCTCTCTCTCTCATCCTCCTCCCTCCCTCCCTCTCTCTCTCCTCTCTCCTCCCTCCCTCCTCCCTCTCTCCCTCTCCCTCCCTTCCCTCCACTTTCTCTCTCTCTCTCCTCTCTCTCTCTCTCTCGCTCCGGATAGTCTCCTATAGTCCGTGAGAGACAAAATACGGGCCTTTTCCCTTTTTCTGCGAGGAGTGCCATTCGTTACCTAAATATTCATTCCATCCAATTCGGGTCAATTTTGCTATGCCTCGTTAGCCCTTCCATGCAACTCCCTCCGACCCTCTCCTCCTCCTCCTCTCTCTCATTTTCTGTCTGTCTGTCGGGTCGTCGTCGGTCGGTCGGTCTCTCTCTCTCTCTCTCTCTCTCTCTCTCTCTCTCTCTCTCTCTCTCTCCCTCTTTCCTTTAAAATCTTTCCGTTGCGAGTCTCTCTTGTCTATTATTCCCTCTTCCACCTTATACCCTTCCCTCCACCCCCTCCCCACTCCCAGTCATCTATGCTTTTCTATCTGTGTGTCTCTCTCCCCTGTCCCATACCCCCACTTCCCCTTTCTCCTCACTTTCTCTCCCTCTCCCTCTCCCCTTTTCCTCCCACCTCCCTCTCCTTCCTTTCTCCTTCCCTCATCCCCCACCTTCCTCCCTCTCCCCCACTCTCCCACCCTTCCTCCCACCTCTCTCCCCTTTCCCCCCTCCCTCACCCCCCTCCCCCTCCCCCAGGTCACCCGCCCTGAGATGTCAACACTGTCTGATATATGGGTTCGCGGCGGCCGCCTGTTCAACTTGGAAGATTAGTTCACGTTCCTCCTGCGTTCTGCTCTTGGAAGTGTTCTTTCTTGGACGTTCCGTTCCGCGTTTCCACCTCTTCTCCTTGTGTGTTCCTGCGCTGGTTTATTGGTCACATGTGTATTTTTTTTTTTCCCTTTACCTGTCTCCTCTTTCCTTCCCGTGCTCTCTCTTCCCCTTCCCCTTCCTCATCTTCCCCCCCCTTCTCACCCATCCTCTCCCAACCCCTTACTTCCTACTTCTTAACATTCATCTCCTCCTCCTCTCACCACCCCCTACTTTCTCCCCCTCCCCACCCTTTACTTTCCTCTTCTCTCCTCCTCCTTCTTCCTCTTCTCCTCCTCTCCCTTCCCCTGCTACCACTCCTCTCTTCTCCCCCTACCTTCCCCCTCCTCCTCCTTCCTTCTCCATCCCCTAACCTCCCCCCTCCTCCTCCTCCTCCTCCTCCTCCTCTCCCCTACCTCCCCCTCCACCCTCCCCTCTCCCTCCTCCTCCTCTCTCCCTACCTCCTCCTCCACTCCTCCTCCTCCTCCTCCTCCTCCTTCTTCATGACATTAACA